TTGCCGACCATTTCGTTCAATAATACCACTGTGTTCATCACATTGTTGTGAGAGTAATCCCGTTTCTGGCACCATTGTGTACGGTAGATCAAATCTAATCCCTTAATGAGTATTTCGTTTACAAACCGGTAACTTTAAAACATAAGAGTTTTCAAAAATAGATTACCTGCTGGTCCTTCGATGATTGGTACTTGTAACGTTATACCAATTTCTCCGGCTAAGAAGCCGAAATCCTTTTCAACTTTAATTCGTTTGAAATGTAATGAGTAATTTCCAGGAGCATGAATGTAGTAAACCTGGTATCACATTAATTCACATGTAGATGAAGCAGAAAATGAGTTAAAGGAGTATATACCTTGTTTCCTTTCTCGTTGATAATATTGACATCTTCTTCTTCTATTTTAATTTCATTTTTTACTGAAATAAGAAAGTTATGATGCATGATAAAAAGCAGTACATTGGTGAAGAATTGAAAGGAGAGTTTGTGATAGGTCTTAGAAAGCATAATTCATAGAAAACTTCAGTGAAGGGTAAGGAATACATCGAAATGAGCATTAAATCTTCTACAGATTGAATTAATGAACAGAAACAGTGTTTGTAATTTCACATTGAGTATGTAATCAACTATTAAATGTAAATCCCAGGGTAAAGATATATAATTAAGAAATAGTTGCGTTTTTTCACCCTTCTCATCCTCATTTGGACATGCTGCTCAAATGCAAATAATGGTTAAACATATAACAGAAATTGTTGGTGCTGCTGATACATTTGATCCTTCTGTGTTTGAGCCCTATGTAGACAAATAGTATCTAAGTCCGAATCATAAGCAATAAAATTTTGTTATTCTTTTGGGGAGTGAGCAATGTTGACAAGTTTTGAAAAGAAGGAACGTCTTTATATTATAATAATCAATCTTGTTATTACCAACCTCCTCTGCAATTATAAAGGCTGATTTCGTCGATAAGAATGTAGAGATCCTCATAAGCTAAGCAGAAAGTGGCCAGTAGTGAAGAGATTATTAATAATCGCATTTCATGTGTTGAGCTGAAATTGTTGATGAATAGTTGAGCCGAACAAAAAAAAAGGTTTGGATTGGATCGATTGGAACGAATAAATTAAATTGGTGAATGAGTGAGTGAACGAATGATTGAATAATGAATAAAATGACGAACGAATTGAAACAAATCAATAAAACAACGAAAAACAAATAAATGGGGTATAATGATTGCTCAAAGTGAAATATCTCGGATATTTTCAAAATTCTTTGAATAAGAGATTAAATACAAATGTGTTTCTTTTCAGCCAGCCTATGATAGTGGAACGGG